AGCTCGAATCTGGTTAAACCCTCAATATCTTGATAGTGCAGAAACGTCTAAAATATCGTCACAAAAAGTTTCTGGTTTTCCTCACAGTATCGTTCATATCGAAGTTTATCTTCCACTACTAAATGCGCCTCAACTATTAAAAATCGAAACCATTGATCCTAACCCAAAAATGATAGACAAAATTAATATTGAGCTTGACTGGAACTATTTCAATGATGCAGTTCATCTACTAGAAGAATATTCAAACATATATTTGTATTCATTCAATCGTTTTTATCAACATGATAATAGACTAACTTCAACAAAATTAGATGCGACAACATTCTACTTATCATTCATCGATTACAGTCGATTGCTGTTAGAATATTTAGATCAGAGATTAATCACTGCCGCGCCAGATTTTACCGAATACATATATGATTATATCATTGATAAAATTCAACAATTTCAATTCTATTATCAAGAACCATTAGTATTTCATTCATACATAGCTCTATTAGTTCAACTAACAAATCGTCCACAAATGATAACTTACGAAAGTTATCACATGATGAGACATTTTGTGAGATTTATAATGTCTTATAGTTTCGCTAAGACATCTAAAGCATTTCTTGACAAACTTTTGCAATTATATATAAATCTGAGAGTGTACATTGGAATGACAATGCCTCAACCAGAAGCCACTGATGGATGGAGTATCATAGAGTTTAGTCAACAAATAAACGAGATGATTCAATTTCTTCATGATACGTATTTGTTGAATAATATTTCAAATGTAGCAAAAACTAATAAGATTAATATTGATTTTGTAGTCAGTTTTATCTATCCATTCACTACAGATCGTTGGACTCTCATTCTTCATCCAGCTATGAACAACGGACTCATCAGCAGTCCTCACAAACGTAGGTATTAAGGCAGATATGACAATTCATTGATCATTCATCATTTTAGGTGGCATAACGAACGGTCTCGGTGTATTGTATTTAACTCAAGAATGGATACCAATTCGATATGTATTCGACTCCGATATCTATGTGACCTATGTTGTTGGTCAAATGCTGATATTTCTGTCGTTTATTAACAGTTCAATACCCACTCTTGTTCGATATTCGCTTAATCAATCCTATTTGAATAAATCAACTATGAAAAATTCACATTTATATCAGATCCGCTTAGCTCATTTACGTAAAAATCTTTATCGTCACACGTTTTCTTTTCGACTCAACACAACACGTTTAGGAAAATATTTGACATTCGTGTTTGACAATTTGCCAAATTCCTATTACATATTCACGACATATATTAGATATAATCAAAGTTGTTTAAATACAGGAATAATCAATCGAACACAGTTATTATCATATCATTTTAATGCTGATCTAAACTATTTAAATGATTTTGTTCATTCTATACCGATTCAGCCTAATAGTGTTGTCTGCTCAACAATTCAAATAACATCAAAACAAAATCTACCTAAAAGTCAAAAAAGTCGAATAGGTTAGTAAACAAATATTCGTTTTTAAAGGTATTCTCCTCCTCTATTCTGGAAAGAAAGGTCAGTTTTGTTTCTAGACTGTCAGAATATATTTTGAAGTGTTTTTTAAAAGATAAGCCGTCCAATTGAAAAGGTTAAACTCTCTATGATCAGACGTTTTGATTGTTGAAGCAAGGACAGAAACAGGGATTACTCTTAATAGCTACACACTCTAGGTCACTTAATGGTTATTGAAACAGCATGTTATTCATTTACAAATTTAACTGGACGAGAATATTATAATTCACTTAAAAATGATATTTGCCAATTACATAATGTCGATAATCAAGATGTAACACTACCATCAAATGGTCCTTATTTAGAGTGTTATTGTTCTTCATTCATGAATTATTTTCTCTTAACAGATTTAAAACAGCTCGATATACAATTTGAATTGAGCGAACAAGTATGGCACTATTTTCTTTTGTACGTAATCATATTAGTGACTATTTATTTGTTACTCTCAATATACGCTATTCGAGCCGATGTTCACGAACATTATCGGCCACTAGTAAAATTCATTAATGATAACCAAATGCCAACTGTTAGTAGATATTTGTTTCAATTAACAATATTCACTGGTTTGCAACGAGCAGCATCATCGAATTTAAAAATATTTGTTCGAATTATGGGAAAAAAACAAAATGATTCACCGCATTGTTTAAATACAGACAATAATGAAGCATTTCAACGTGGCAGTTGTAATCAATTTCTTTTAACATCCTTCATTGATCTAGGCATAAAATCACTTATTCTATTGTTTATTGAAATTTTCCATATGATCTTGTGTTATTTTAGGTGAAATATGCGCAATTAATCTTTGGCACGACGGGACAACCACTCATTCTGATCTTTATATTCGTCACTGTATTTTGTACGATTATCACAAACTACGCACGTATTATTTTGTTTGCTACAGTTGGCTATCGTTAACTAAAAGTGGAAGACTTAACGAAGTGTTTTATCCCGCACAAGAAGTGGACTTGTAAGTTCTTCTTGTTCGATTGATTTTTTAAAACTTATTTACTTTATCTTTCGTTTTGCTTCCGTTCAATCCTTATCTATTTTTCATTTCAGGAACTCATTTGGTCATTTGTTTATGAGCACGTTCTGTTGGTTATTCTACCATTACCATTTGTTAAATAGTGTATTTTGTAAACAAAAACCCAGTTCATTTCCTCGAATGGGACGTTTACACTTATATTTTTGTTTCTCGATGATTCAATTGTATTTAGTCATGTCAGTCATTGTAATATGTCATAAATCAGAAGATGTTCATTCACAAACATGTTCAATATTTCCATTTGTATTTCTGTTGAATCTAAATTTTCCACTGACTGATTTTAAAAAAGTTTATCAAATTATAAGGATGAATTTTGTGCCATGTTTACTTCTTTCATTATTGATTAGTTCACTAGTTATTCTAATGCCAATGATCATTTGGTTCTATGAACATATCACAAACAGGTGGACATTGTATGAATTGTTAGAAGATGCTATAACAAATTATGAAGCAAGTGATAGGTACAGATACGAAACTAGAATCTAGTCTCTTGTAAAAACAACTTCTATCAGTCGAGTCTATCAACACCTAATCGTTGGAAACATTCTATCCTAAATATTCCAGAGGATGGGCTTCACTGCAACAGAAAACCATAAAAATTCACTTAATAACTTATGTAATAATAACTACTCAAATTTCGTGGAAAAAGCTGCATCTTACTCCTATATTCATTTGTTAACTGTCTCGAACAGCTTGTATAAAAGAAACATCTTTCAGTTCTTTGGGGAAAGACTGGAGTTTTGACTTTTAAGTAAAGCGGGCGCATAAAAACCGATCCAGTCGCCTACCATGCTCGAAATAGTGTTAATGTACAACGCAAAACAAATGTACCTATAATTAATTGAGAAACGATAAGCGTACATCAATTAGTTTCTAAAAAAGAAGTATAACCAGTCTATGTTAACGTATGAAAGTTTTTCTTGAAGTAATATCCAACTTTATCTTTCTTTCTAAATATTTTCACATTTTATTTTAAGAAAACTTTTTAACAAATAGCTATTTTTGTCTTGTCTTAATTTACTACAATGTATGAGACGACTGTTTAGGAAGAAGCAATAACAAATTATTTCTTTTTGTAGTCTACATTCATGCTTCTATGCTGCTGCATCGTGCACAGCCGATTTAGACAATTATTATGTCGATATTGAACAATTTGAATTCGTGCATAAATTCGACTTAAAACATCGTCTATCAATCAGCAGTATCGCCGAAGAAGAACAACGAACAAACGCATTCAAACCGGACCATGAAATTTTAGGAGAAAAGAGAAAAAATGCAACTTCGACAAATGACGATATTATAGAAAATAAAAATGTTAATTGTATTTATCCAGCATTAAGGATCCATTCGAGAAATGTAAGTCAAAAAATATATTTGATTTGATAGACGTACACACGTATTTGATTCTTCATTTAGTTGAACCATTTTAAAAGTCAACGTAGTCTGAAACATAATGTTTTCGCTGATAGAATCAGCACTTTTTTGACATTACAACCTAATTGTGAGAAGAGAAAGGCTCATTTGGATACTCAGTTGAAATCTGCTAACAGTTCACATGTAAGTTAGTATGATAAATGTTAACGATGAATCACTAACTCTTAAAATAGTCCGTTTCTTTTTCGATCCATTTAGATGTATATCAGACAATTATTTCCCAAACGGAGAAAACAAAGAAACTACTGGATCGATTATATTCAATCAAGAAATAAATGGAAAAATTTTAATTCTCTTACATACTCGTTGTCATTCTTTCACACTGAAGGGCAGACTCCAGGAGACATACCTGTCGATGTACAATCAACATCTGTTGCGTCAGTGCCACCAGCGAAAAAAAAACGAAAAAAATCTGTTTATCAATCAAGTTTAGGCTACGAATTTCTATCAACAGCTGCCTCCGACGTTCAAGAAACGGTACATTTCACAAATTTGTTTATCAACTGGTGATTATCGAAAGACTTTCTGTCAAAACCATTTGCTACTATTATCATCATTTTATCCTCTTCCAGGCCCCACTCATCTTTGAGACCATCCTATACTGTCTACATATCGTCTCAAATCGTCTATTATAGCAGTCTTATTATATTAATGATATTTACGTACTATTGCATGTTTGAAGTTATGGATGTATTTAGAAATACAGACAACTATTTTGTTCCAAGTTGTATTCTTTTTGCATCTATCTTGTCAATTATTTTCACTATTGTCATCGAATTACTTATTATTTGTATCATAGCAGTATTTAATGCAACATTTTTACGTCGTACAGATGAAACTGCATTTAGAGCAAATTGTGTCGAAGTTAGTTAACATTCATAACAGTTCAAATCATTTACATCCTCATCATTTTAGTAGATCATCAGTTATTGTAATTGATGTTTTCAGATACCAACAACGCCTTTAATTGATATAAAACATGAAACATTAAGTGGTGTTATGCGTTTATCTCGAGATATAACCTTAACAGAACCACAAATACAAGAAAGAATTCGAGAACGTATAGTAGAAGGTTCAATTATACGTGCAATGAGAGATGTAAACAGTTTTTCTTCACTTACAGATCATTTTGTGTATTTACTTTTGATATTTTCAGGTGCTCGGTTATATTGTTTTTCTGGTTATCATTATTTTAGGTAAAATTGAATATGATCGTGTTATTTCCACTAATCATTTTTTTTCTTCTTTAGTTTTCAACGAAACGTAAGTTTTTGTGACTGCTTCATGAGTGAGACCACGTTTCAAATATACTTATTATTATTTGGAATGGAAAATTTTTGCTTTTTTTTTTACACACTTCGTACACTGTTTATGTTTCAACAAAACTAGTAAACAACCAGAATTTCATAACGCCTTTTACAATACATGCCTAGTGCAACTTCTTAATCCAAGAAGTTGAGACACTTCTTGAGGCAAGAAACGTTTCTTGCTTTCTTATGTAAAATCTTAGGGTAAGAAGTTCAAAAAGCATTTTTGTTTTTTTTTGAACGAGATAATATCATTTCTTGCTTCTTTCGTACTTCTTGAAGCAAGAAATTAAATTTCTTCAGACAAGCAAGACCTTGCTTGAAAGAAATACAAAAAAATAAATTTATGTTTTCTTGCCCATGAAATACAAGATCTTGAGACATTTCGTGAGGTCAAAGCTTGACAGAAGATGCAAAAAAGAAAATGTAATTTTACTGAGACAATAAGTTAGTGATTGTAGTATTGCTTTATAAGCGTCTACATCTGCTTGATACCATTTATATAATATATCATCGTGATCCCTTTCAGTTGTGTGATACGAGAAAAATGTCGATTTATAGATATAATAAAAATCGTAGAGAAAATAGGAGTGAGATATTATGTGTAAAATAATAATACTATCTATTTGTATAGTTTTATTTGAATTAGAAATGCTGCTTTTAAATCAATTTCAGAAATATATGCGTTTTTAGCAACAATTTTGGAGAACTACTTGTGTTTGTTATTTTGCCAATAGTAGGCAACCATTTTTAATCAGAAAATGATGCGAAATTATAAGTAGTATACAAAGTATATGAAAAGAACAAATTCTTTATTCCAGATTGAGATCATTTTGTAAATCTAACTAATAATTATGTTTAAAAAAAGTGATCTCAGTGTTTGTTTAGATCCCAGAATATTAAAACACGTTTAGCAATGCGAGAATATACATTTCAATTATTATTACGTGAAAATATATTTCAACGAATTGTAAACATACCGGACACCATGGTAAGATTAAAAATTAGAGTCTATTATTATACTTAATACATATTCTTATTTGTTTATAGGATTGGCTTCGATTATTTATCGAACATCGTTTATTTCTTAAACCTGTAGATTATTCATGCATAAAAGATAATTGTAATTATATCAGAATACCTGATTCACCATTGTATTTATCAAAAAGTATTCGTATTCGTCAAATCCGAGCTGAAAGAGGCAAATGTCATTCAAAAATAATTAAAATTTTTCGAAATTACAATCAATCATGTTATATTGGATCAAAAAATATCATATCTAAAAAACATTTAGTTATTTCAGGTAAGAAAGATTTTAATATTGTTGATATAATTTATTGAATTTCATATATAGGTATAAGAAATTGTACCGGATGGAATTTATCTAATTCATGTAATGAAAAGTGTCCATTAAGTAATGCATTTAGTGCTGTTTCATATGAACACATAAGATCAAAATTATATTCAACATATGAATCACCATATTATTTTATATTCTATTTGTTATCAAAAGAAACAGTGATGAGTTGTAACAGAAAAAAAAAATATTATAATTTAAAAAAGTCAAATTGGCTTGATGAAAAAACAGTAGGTAAGAAATCGACACACACTATTTTTTGATAAATTAAAATTAATTATCATTTTTTTTTATTTATAGTATTAATAATTGAAGGTAACTTATATTCACCACAAACAATGGCAACGATTTCATTTGTATTAACAATGGATAAAAATTTATTTGGCACAATATCGACAAATATTCTTATCGATGTTAGTGATTATTCTTTGATAAATAACTATGTTTTAGATCAAAACAATAAATCAATTAGTACAAGAGGAATAAGAATGCCTAAGAAAATAGTTAAAACTGATTTAACAAGACAATCTGTCTTAATACATTATTTATTTTTGGTACTGTTAGTCGTCATATTTATTGTAAAATTATTTGATTTAGGTATGATACCATTAAATTCTTAAATATTTATTAAATTTCATTTCAATTTTAGCAAAATACACTCGAACATTTGGTTTTATTGGTTTTGTCACATTTTTAAGATCCATTTCGAACATAATCGATATGTTCCTATTATTATTATGTTGTTACTATTTTCTATTTTTTTATCTTGATTATGAAGTATTACAAATGAATAATATTTTACAAACACTCGATATAAAACGTTTATTCATTAGTTTTCGTGTATTAATTATTAATAATATAATTGTCAATAATCTTATCGGTGGTATATGTTTAGTAGCCATGTTTAAATTATTAAATTTATTAAAATTTAATCCTAAAACATTTTTAATAGCTGAAACAGTGAGAAAATCTGCATTAGGTAAACTATACTTGAGTTGAACACATTGAACACTAGTTTTGCAAAAAGTTAATTCGAAAAAACTAAAAACTATTGTCTAATGTTTAGGATCCAGCTTCTTAGCGATGCATGTTGTAAGGCTGAAAAACGTCTTAAAATGTTAATCAGACTTTTCTCTTCAACTTAAGATATCGCGCGACACTTTACGACGATCAGTTTAGGAATTGTAGGCAAAACAAAGAACGATGAAACATCGTTATAGTAGCAGAGTTAGCTGACCGCGCCGTCTTGTTTATATGATTATTATAAATAAAGTTAATTTAAATTTTGACTTTATTTTAGGTTTTTGTATTATTCTGTTACTTGTATTTATAAATTATTTTGTATTTGCTGTTATTGCTCATCTTCTATTTCCTACAGAAGAGAATTTTCAGACCATTTTTGTCGCATTTCGTGTTGTTCTCGTATCGAGTGTCAGAGATTCGAGTACACAAAGTTATAATTCAATATCAATCGTTCGAGCACTATGGCAATTTTTATTGTGGCTTATAGCAGCTAAACTAATTGAAAATTTTCTTGTCTCATTCGTTATTCAAGAATTTGCATTTGTGAGAAAAAATCATCAATCAACAGATGAAGAACGAGTGGTAGAAAGATTATTTTCAACATTGATGACCTATTTTGCTATTAGAAAACCTAAAAAAGTAACATATTCGAAAGTTTTAGATTGATTTTTATTTCATTCGTTTTTATCTAAACCGTTTTGGTTAACGTTTTGATATTTGAAATATGATGTTTTACTTTTTGCATTTGTAATAAAAGTTTTAAATAGTCGCTTGACGTCACTAAACAAGAGATATTGACGCCATGTATCGTACACACGAGATGAGATATCTCGAATACGTTCAAAAGTAAGTTTTCTTTGCTGAGTATATTATTTCGATCAGAGAAAGATATTTTCTTATTGCGCAGATAGGAGCAACTCCGGTTCGAACATATCGTTGTTAAGTTCGATTAGAATAGTAATTAAAAATTGTTATTGAACACGTTTCTAGTTGTATTAACAGATGTAGACAGTGATGGAAGAACTACTATCCGTTCCAAAATACAAGAGCACTGGTTGCTTTTTGAATAACTTTTGATAGGTAATAGATAGAGAGGTGCGGTTTTCAGTTTTAGAAACTAGAGACCTGAGCCCGTGTTTCTATAGGCGGAAGCGAGTTTCGGAAAAAACTTTCAAGTTGGTTTTTGAGGAGATCTTTGGAAAACCACATCAGAATTCCCGAAAGTCTCATAGAAATGTAGTCGTTTTTTTACATGGGTATGTAGCTACAAGTGTCCTCTAAAAAATGGGAGTCAAGCGAGACCTAGATTTTCTAGGGCTCTAGCGTTGTACCGGATTTCCTACGAGTCCTACGACTGATACCTGGTGACTCTTCGTAGCCTTGAAAGCCAATGGACTATAGATAATCGATCATGCTGAGTCTCGTGGCAATATTTGCTTTTAGAAAAAGTTTAAAAGTCTATCGAAAAAGGGAGTTTTACGAAAACTAGGGTTTTCAGACTGTTTTCACCTAATATTAAAAAATTCA